AAAAAATAAGTAAGATCATAACCAATCGATAAATTGATGGAAGATAATCTATGCAATACTATCATGAATCAGCCGCGCACAAGAACGTCAAAATGAAAATCTATCTTCACAAATCGCCAATAACATACAAGCCATAACCATTGCCCCTACATGCATACCGTGATTAGAATCTGGTCCTATAGTAACAGCAGTGTCAGAGTTGGTTATTCTTTCGCCAGAAGCCACAGTTGATCCACCAGCTTTAGCCAGCACACCACCCCCATTTGTAAAGCCAGTCTTGCTGGAATTTACTTGGTGAGGTGAAGCATTTGGATCTCCATTGCATATAGGCTTTCCAACGAAATTCAAATACCATCATCCATCACCACTAGGTCTTTCATCACTTTCAACTATGCTTGTTGCAGCGGTTTTCGCAATTCGGCACTTAGAGGCACCATCATCTTCAGTAGCCCCTGTACCATGAGGCCGGTTACGAACCCCCAGCAGCATCGGCTCAAGAAAAGAAGTCCAGAACCTCAGAACCTTATTTAATTGTTCTTTTGTTGAGCAGATCTCTTCACATGAATATTTAACAATTTTATACACGTCTTCATGAACATCAACATCAGAATATTGGAATTCAAGATTTGGACTGATGACATGTCTGCTTCCAGCAGCAATACTGATAAGTACATCATCCTCTTTCTGACTTTTCTCCCTGACATCTTTGATCTCTGCAACTAAGGCTGTCCATTAAAAGCACAAAAAAATAGATATGAGAACCAGAAGATCAATTGAGAGCACCATTTGCTGTCTCCAAATAATTTTTACTGCATTATGAATAGGGACTCGTAAGTATTAAATAACCAATCCATCTATGATCCAGATGCAAACTATAATGTCTGCAATGAGGGGAGATAGAATCACAATTCGCATATGCATAAAATGTTACACAGGCGAGATAACTAAAAGGGACATTAGCAACAATAAGGGTGTGTTTGATTGGAAAATTTTCCATGAAAAATGGCCTTTTTCCACCCAAATTTCAACTTTTGGAGTGTTTCATTGCCATTTGTTTCCATGGAAAATATTTTCCAACCTTTAAAAATATGCCTAGTTTTTCTTTTTTCAGGAAAACATTTTCTTTGGGGGAGATGTTTTTGTTTTCCTCAAAACAAGGGAAACATTTTCTTTTCTAGGAAACATTTTCTATACCAATCAAACATACCCCAAGTGTAGAAGGCATCGGTATCAATTACTAAAAGCGTTGGCAGTATAATTCAGAGAAATCATATTCCCAATGATAAGAAACAATTTTTTGGCAAATGTGGAGACAAATGGAGATGGAAATGCTTCCTGGCAAATTTCCCCAGGAAGAAATTACAATGATCCTGCTGTTCTAAACCATGAGGTTGTGGCATTAACGGTTGTATTAAAGCATGCAACTGGTTATCTGATCCATGAGGTTGTGGCATTAATAATCGTACTAAAGCATACAACTGGAGATATGAGCCCTGAGATTGTTGTAGTGACAGTGACGCTGGAGTCATCAAGTCGCAGTAATGACATCAACGACAATGGAGCAGCAATAACAAAGACAACAGCTATGACTAGTTAAAATTCTGATGATAAAAATACATAAAGCAAGAAATATCATTCGAAAATTAATGAAGAGAATTTCCGTTTACCATAGTTTCTCACTAACTTATTGATGCACACCAATACTGCAGCAAATTTTCCACTGAATGCAAAAGGCTAAATTTGAAATCATCTCATCATGGCAATCCAACCATTTAATGAAAAAAATAAACATTCCACCCAAGTGGTAACATCATCATATTGCATTTTTATAATGATTGGACACGAAAATGAAAAGTAATATAACAGATTCACAGCACCAATTACAACAAAGGATCATAGATAATATCAGTGCTCAACTTACATTTTGTGCTCAAGTTCTTTGAATCTTGTTGCCTGAAATAGAAGCTGCGGTGATCCAGAGACTTGTAATGGTTCTTAAAGTAAATCTCAGCCCAAACTTTGTTAAAATCTGAACGACACTTAGTCCATTCCTCTTGCTTCTGCTTAAGGCGGGTTAGAATAACAGGCAATGCAATGGATGGATTTTTACGCAATATGTCCATGACATCAAGACCGTGATCACCATATAGACGTTCAACGCATCTCAAGTTTAGAGCTAAAACCAAAAGAAAGACATATATTGGAAAAAATACATGAATACATAAATACATACATATGTGTGTGTGCACGCACGCGCGCGTCCGCATGTGTTTAATTGAATGAGAGGAATGGATTGGGCAAAATTTGCACACCTGTGAAATGCTCCTCAATACGTACGGGACCGTCTGAACCAATTGAATGATTATTGATATTGTTCAAGAGTTCCTCCGCACGCTTCGTAGTCGAACTTACAGACTCCAACAACATGTCTAGTTCGAATCTGAAACATCCAACAGAAATTCGATGAACAAAGGAAAACCTCCAATTAGGAAAAGCTCAGACACATCAAGTTGGAAAAACGTGAGAAAATATGGAAACAGAGGTTGAGGGAAAACCAAAAGTAGATATTCCCTAAGAAGTAAGGATTCGGATTTGGATACGTAATTCAAATACGCTACGGATATGTCGATACAAGTTTTTTTTTAAATAACTACAATACGCGAATGCGTGTGTGCTTGTGTGTATTTAGCATAATTTCATTATTAGAAAAAAATTAAAATAGACGTACCATAATAAAAATAAAATACTTTAGTATTTATCTTAGGGTGTGTTTGAGCCCGTTAAAAGGTAAATAATGCATTTTGGAATAGTAGATTGAGGAAAAATGTGTTGTTAAAAAATAATGAAAAGCTTTGAGTTTTCGCGTAATATTATTTTATTGAAAAATGTGTAGTTGAAAATAAGAGAGAGAAAAATGTATTTTGAACAAAATGGGAAAAATAGGAATCAAACAAGGGCTTAATCCTTAATTGTTCCAAATTCATTTTCTTCAACATCGGCTTCTTCATTATTATTAAAAATGACACCCTCCAACTCTAGTTCATCTAATGATAGATTAGCAATATCAAGTATCCCAACACCTTTAAGAACATCAAATGAGTCTTCGTAATGTCTCACATTTTGAATTCTCCTTTGATTTAATACTAATATCTATTTTCAATAATAAAAATATATTTATCAACTATTAACACAATTTTACATATATTAAAATATTTAATACTATTTTATATTTCTAATAAAAAAACTATAGCTATCAATTAAATCAAAACTTTAGTTGTATATTTTTAATATACATTATCTATTTCCAATGAATTATATTGATTATAACAATAGTTATATATTAAGTAATTTTTTTTAATCAATAGCCAATAATAATGAGTTTTAAAAAAGTTTAAAACCAATAAAAATCTTATTCACGTCCTAACATGTCCGATTATTGAAAATGATTTAATAATTAAAAATACGTATCCGATAGTATCGAAAATTTTAAAAAAACAAAATAATTAAAAAAACACACATATCAGCTACGTATCGAAGCATATCGAAGAGTATCCAAACTTGAATACATATCGAATATGGGTACGTAGTGAGTTTAAAAGTATCCGTGCATCTTATTAGGATATTCCACTTTATAAACTTAAATATGTAGCAAAGCCAAAAAGTGTTTACTCTCTTTCCACATCCCATATGATGTATGTCAGAAGTAAATATGTAGCAAAGCAAAAAAGTGTTTACTCTCTTTCTACATTGCATATGATGTCTGCCAGAAGATAATGACTAGAAGTCACCAGCATAAGAAAGAGGGGTAAGATGAGTTCAACTTCGTCTTTTTAAATTACCAAGGTCATGGGATCAAAGACCATCTCTAGACCATATAGGGGAGGACAACAGGAGTTAAAAATTGGAAAGGTGGCATACCTATCATCTTCGCATCTAAACAGGCTTTCTTCATACTGGTTTCTACGCATGTGTTTAAAAGAATAATCCTCACTACCAGATGTGACTGATACCCAGTGATCATTTAAAACCTGACTACCAAGCTCCGACCTCTGGCTTGCTGAAGTTATTGGATACTGCATAGATAGATTTACAAAAAGAATGTCCAGAAAAACATCATTTCTTAAATTAAACAGATGTATACTGCACTTTATAAAATAACAAAACTATTAGGCAAGAAAAATAGTACATAAGCTGAAGAAAGAGCAGAGAAAAGCAAATATTCATACATCCTCAGGAAGAAGCCGATAACTGGGAGTGCAACTTTGACAGTTAGAAAGGTCAAGCTCCTGAATGGACTTTCCCCAGTACTTCAAATTGTACCTATCCTTCTCTTTACCTCCATCTACTTCACGCTTCTGTTCTTTATCTTTGTCCTCTATTCTCAAGTCCTTTGAAGAATGTCCTTCATTCCATAATGATTCTGCTGATAGAACAAATTCCTTAGAATACACATCAAGAAAAGTGAACAGCAATTTACGCTTGTCATGAAATTGTACTTTTTTGACTAAAAAAAGGGAAGAATGTCTTTTATTACATTTTCTTATGTATTTACTTTTTCTTTTTCTTTTTTTCCTTTTTTTCTATTTTATTTGGGTGGGTGGGTTAGGGTTACTTCTCTCCTCTGAAGTGCAAGAAATAAATACAATACATGCTATCCATAAAGTAACATGTAAACAAATAGCAGGAGAATTACATACTTTTGCCCATAACACCAGCAAGAAATCCATCTGCAAAACAAACACCAAGTCAGAACTAAACCAAAAAAAAAAAAATCAAAAATAAAATTTAAGGCACAACAGAATATTAGCAATACCAATTCGCTCACAGCGTTCCAAAAATTCATTGAATCCCTCCATGAGATCAGGATATTTACCAAGTAAATCAGCAACCTGAAAATAATTCATGTTAGTAACAGATAAATAAGTGCATTCATGTGTTGCCACCAAATAAAAATAGGACACATCCTGAGTAAACATGATAGATAGGCAAAGGAAGAGCAGTGATTCAATACTTCAGAGGTTCAATTTAAAGCAAGATAAATGTTTCCATTTAATGAGTGAGAGATAGAAAATTAAAATGCAAGATAAAGCATATACTACTATTATGTGAAACAATTGTAGAAATAGGGGCACAATTAAGATGGTTTTTGACAAAATTGAACTGAATAAAAATATAAATTTACGGCTATTAATATCCAAAAGTCGCTAATGAAGTGTTAAAACACACCAAAAGATGGAATGATATTCATACCAAACTCTGTAATTCTTTTCTTGTGATTATTTCGGTGCTGTAAATATGAAGACATTTCAGAAATGCCTGGTAATCATCTGAACTGCGTAACCTCTCCTTAACTTTTTCACAGAAGGTGAACTCTTGGCTGTACATGCCTGAAATGATCAATCCAAACAAATTATAACAGGGTTGTTAACAAGTCAACCATAACCATATGAGCTATTGAAATCTACAAAAACACACAACTCCTTTTTCTTGAAACATAAAGTTGAAAAATATAGTTGTACTCATAAATAATTGCTAGGTTTTTCTCTCTTTACTTTAGGGGTGTGTGGTTAAAAAAAATCATTACACAAATTGTAATGCACTTAAGGATTTTTCAGTTATACTAATTTCCTACAAAGAAAACAAAAAATACAAATAAAAATCCCAGGAATCTACCGTTGAAGAAATATGGACATGCAAGTTGAACCAGAATTGAACAATTTCTCTATATTATCACAAAATACAGGGGCCTTGATCACTCACTTTTCAATGTATCTTTATCGTCACAGGAAGCCAAATTAGAATTCCCTCCAAAGTCATCGACCTTTCGGGAAGATTTCTTTTTATGCATGCTAGTGTCCCCATTGTTTTCATGGTCAGGTTCCCTGTCATCGTGATCACGATATCTCTTATCCTTGTTCTCCTTGTCAGCGCGCTTCTTCTTCATCACTGTTTTATCATCATCCAGATCTGGGCGCTCAACGCTAAGATCACGTTCTCCATGGGGACTAATAATCCTATCCCTCCGCAAACGTTGCTAAATTTTGTAGGACATCTTGTTTAGAAACAAGAAATCCTAAAACAGCCACATAAAGAAAAAAAGAAGTGTACAAAAGTATAACCTTATCTACTTGAGATTGTCGCATTGTGGGCATTGCAGAGCTCCTCTCATCATAATGATTGAAAGGACGCCGTCCAAAAGAAGCATGTGCCACTGATGCTGTAGCTGAAGTATCTGGCAAAAATCTAGTGAACTCCTCGAGAAGATCTGGTTGGTCGTTAAAAAGTGCCTCAACCTGCATATGGATTTTACAAACTAAAGTAATAAGAAGCAACGTGAAAATCTAGAAATTGACAAATTCCAAGTAGTCTGCTTATTCTATTCAATACAAAACATTGCAATAAGATGCATATACCTCTTGGTAGACCTCAGTGATACCCTTGTGTTCCTTCCGATACATATTCAAGATGTCAAGGAATGATTTATAAACGTGATCATCATTTAGGAATCGTTTCTGCAGGTGCACAAAGTCCAGTAGGAAATTGTTATTTATATTCAATTTAGAAACTAAATTTTGAACCAATTACTGTATAAGTGATAAGAAATTTTCACCTTAATCTTGTTTACAAAACTTATAGCCTCTTCAAACTCAACCGTCCTTTTTGGCGCCTCTTCCTCATCAGTAAGGGTGATTTCGTAACCCTTGGGTAAAAATGTATTGAACCCAAGGATAAGATTAGGATGCCCCTTAAATAACTCTTTCACCCGTGCTATAACACCAGCTGTATCAATTCTGCAAGTAACACATTAAAATGAAGTTCATAAAAAGTGATCTATTCAATAGTAATATGAAAAGTTAATCTTACCAAGGAAGAATGATTTACCTTTGTCCCTTGAAATCTTTCATGACATCGAGGAACCTGTCATATTTCTCTCTTTCATCTTGGAACATGTCCTTGACTTCCTTCAAATAACTCAGAGCATCATTGGTTGTAAGCTTTTGTGTACTACCACCGGTACCACCACAGCCATTGCCACTACCTCCAGCAACAGCACCACCTCCTCCTCCAACACCACCACCACTGCCACCACCAGGGGCATGTGGCAGCCCGTACCTTTATTAAAAGGAAATTTAAAATACACAATTTACAATGATAATCCAAAAATTGAGACAACTGAAACCTAATTGGACAACACATATAATGCACACACGAGCTCTAATTAGTTATTGGTCTCTCCCTTGTGCACTTAAATTTTCCTTTTCAGAAACCCTAATTCCCATTTATAAAGGATGGCAGAGGGCCATTTAATGAAGTATGCATCTAGATAGTCAATGCTTTCACTCAACGAGTACGTTACATTTTGAAGTGTACAAGCAAGAATGCTGATGAAGAATACTTTCAGAAGAGAGTCAAGAGACACAAGATCGTATGAGGTGTACTCTCTCCCACTGAAAAAATCATTGGCTGCTGGGTTTGTTCCTAAAGGTCATTAGTTTACCACTACTACCTGCCAGGTTCAATGTAAGACCTCCGTTCAATACAGCCAAAACACAATTGAGTCGTTTATAACTTGAACTTTTCCCATGAATACCATCGACCCAAATAAAAAGGAAATAATAATAAATATAAAAGAAATTGATAATAAAACCCAAAGCAAAGCAGCACCACGTCTAAAGATCCAAACTTTATTTCCATATGGGCCCTTCCACCACCACCCACAAAAAAAAAAAGAAAAAAAAAAGAGAGAGAGAGAGAGAGAGAGAAAACTCAGCTACCCTAGACAATACTATAACCTAATTCTTCATATTTCCGTTTCCACCACTCTTACTGCTGTTAAGGAGGAGACTTAAAGGAGTTTCTGTGCAAGAGCAAAAATGTTATCCGCTAGTTCTGATCGTCAAAATTGAACACAATTAACTTTCAAATTCAAGACAGCATAGTGTATCTTCGAACTAAAGACCGCTATTTCCGAGAAAAAATACGAAACCACAGATGAATATAATAAATCACAAGAACCGAACCAATTCCAGATGTACAAATATTAAAGAGCTTACGATTCTCCACGAGAAGACGAAGAACCCAATGGCCGCTTAAATTGAGGGTTCACATAAACCTCATCTCGTAATCGCTTCATTTCTGCAATAACAAACAAATATCATCATAAAAAATAAACCGTAAAATTCAAACACTAGATAAACAAAAAGAAAGTTTGGTTAAAAAAAAAACACTTCTCACAGAAACTGACCAATAAAGTTCTGTACCTTCAGAAAGGGAAAACAGCGAACAGATCTAATCTTACCAACCAAATAATGAAAAATCAGTTCAATTCTTTGGATCGAATTGTTTTTCAATACAACGAATTGTTGCTGAATTTTTCCTTTCTTTTACTTTCCCCTTCTCTCTCTCTAACTTTCTCTCTCTAACCTTGAGAGAACTCCAACAATAACAATCAACTATACGAAAATATGGAGGTGAAAAGGGAAATCAATTTGAGAAGAGGTATACGTGAATGTATAGGAAGACTATTTAGGAGTAGAAATTTGGGAAACTATTGGGCTTTTGTGCAAAACGGGAGAATTTGGACCTAGGCCCATAAACAAAATACACAAGCAGCCCGTTCTGAGTCGAAACTAGAATAATGTAAGGGAAAAATTCACAACTTCTACTATTTCAAAAACAAAACAAAAAAAATAATAAGAAAACAACTTTTAAATTTCAAAAATCAGATATTTGACATATGCATAAATATATATTTATATATATAAATATATAAAAAGATATAAATAAATAAATATATATATCCCACCCCACCCCAACTTTACCACCACTGTCGCTCCAACAATCGTCTGGCGACCGTTCCGACGACTACTCTGATTCCGACGATCGTTCTGCCGTCGATTTATTCTGACGACTGCTTCGAATCGAGACTCTACAAAATAACATGTGACCTGTTAATATTGATATGTGACATGTTTATATTGATTTGTGACCTATAATTAACATGTTACTGCAATCTGTGACCTTAACGATCGTGACTGTAATATATGACCTTAAACCCATGATTGTGACCTTAACGACGAAATAATTGACCACAGTTCTATACAATATGATCATAGCTTTTGATCATATAGATCTGTGACCCTTTTGTATTGATTTGTGAATTTTATAAGTCACAAATTATTTCTCGATCACGAATCGAAAATTTTATAAGTCACTGATTATTTCGAGATCACAAATCAATAATTTTATAGGTCACGGATTACAAAATCTACATTTTTTATTGGTCACAACTCGATTACAACATACTAAATTGTGAGGCACAATAACAATTTTTAGATCACATATTATGCATCGATAACGAATCCAAAATTTTATTGGTTGCAACTCATTTATTTTATTCGTAACATTCTCAAAGTAATTGGTCACACATTGATTTTGGTCACAAATAACATATTTCATAGATCACAACTTATTAAAATAATAGATCGCGTATTATTTTTCGGTTACAAGTCATAAATTTGATTTTTATTGTCAGAGGTCACAAATTTTACACGTCACAATGAATTTTACGTGCCTCGATTCAACCACAACTCTCTTGAACACGCTCTGCAAAAAGTGTGCCCACATGGTATGAATGCTGCACCTTTTTTCCTTCCCATGCATACGTAGCACACTGAATCACCACTACCACTTTCTGTTGCTTATCCTGTAGTCTCATTAACGACACTCTGAATGGGTCATCGGCTCGGTTTCTGCAGTTACGCCGTACCATTCATTGTTACAGGACCTTGCTGGGCTTGGGTCAATTCCTCCATTATCCGAATCTAGCACTGCTCTGAGATGGCGTTCCGCCGCCAAGTTCATCCCCGATGCCGCCGGAGAATGATTGATGCAGTCTGGAGTTGACTCGATTTGCAGTGGCGCGTGATTTACATTTATGACCTCAATTTGTGGTTCTGGTTAATACTCTTCAATACTTGCCCGTTCAACTAGAGTCTTTCTTCTAATTACGTGATCAATGCCATCCATTCTCTCTCTCAATATCCCACACTATTGTCCTTGCTCTTCTCTCTATTTCAACTCTTGCCTGAAATCCAAACCCCAAAATCTCACCTAATTGGCCCATTTCGATGAACCCCTCTATGTTTCTGACTAGACCCCCATAGTGCTCCTCCACAACCCCTCCTCCGTCTCAACCACTGCTGCCACCTCTGTCGCTACCACTAAACCATCCTTTAACCCTCATCCTGCTCATCACATCTCTTCCCCTTGCCCTTCTTCTCTCCATCCCGCTCATCCACCTCTGTTATCTACCATCTCCACCCATCACCAGCAACAGCCCCCACCGCGTCTTAAAAAACTCGTCAAACTCCCACATATTCTCTCTGACTCAAGCTTATTATATATAGTGCCGGCGCATGGTGCAATCGCAATGTGCCCGCTACAGCCTTCCTCCTGTGAAGCTGCGATTTTGGGCAGAGAGAAAGACGAAGAAAGAGAAAATAAGAGACGAAGAGAGAGAGAGGAGTGAGAGACAGAGAGAGAGTGACGTGAATTTAGGGTTGAAAATTAATTTAAGGGGGTGGGGTGTATATATATTAATTTTCATAATATTATTATTAATATTAAATTAAATATAAAAAAACATGCATCTATATATAAAATATCTGATTTTCGAAAATTAAAACTTAACATATGATTTTTGAACTTGAATCTTGAAAAGTAGGGATTCCTGTAATTTTCACATAATGTTATTTATAATTATTATGATGAAACGACAATTATGTGACTGTCCGTGTGAAATAATGTGATTAGATAGTTCAATATATATGAGAGGGGGGGAGATGAGAGAGAGAAAGAAAAAGAAAAATGTGAGAGATAGCGGATTGTCATATCATCGATATTCTATTATCGTTATAAATAACATTACTCTCAAAACTATTGGGCTTTTGTGCTAAAACATATTAATTTGGGCTTTTGGATTTGCAAGGTATGGGCTCTTGTAGCCCAAATATCACTCACCAACCTTTCGAAGAGGGGGGTAACTTCTCAAATAGGGTTTTTACAATTACGAAACATTTTCGACATATTTCCCTGTTTGATCCAGATTATTTTTTGTTACTCTCATTCTTCTACTCATTTTTAACCACACATTTTTCAATAAAATAATATTTTCCATCAAATCAATAATTTTTCCTTCTTTTTCAACTACATATTCTCCATCATATAAACAGTGAAATTGTATTTTTACTTTCAAAATGTGCACCAAACGGGGGCTTAATTTTATTAATTTTTGAGCCACAATTCGTGGTCGAATGAGTAAATCACAGTTACGTATTTAGAATTCATATTACACGTGTTACATATAACGGTTCAAGGAGGTAATATTGTTATTTTGGTCAAATATCAATTACTTGTAACATTACCATGGTTGAATTGAGAAGGGAAACAGAGCTAAGGGATTAAAAGTATCAAGCAAAGGATCTATTGGACAACATCACGAGTTAACATGGTAATTTTGTAAGACAACTGTGTGTTGCTTTTTCAAAATGCCCTGCTACTGATAAGATGGAACAAGATGAGACATTTTATTTAATCAATGTTCGGATTAAAATTCAATTAAAATCTCAATTCAAAGTGGACAATTAATTTTAATCATATATTTAATTAGATTCATAACTTTTCGACCACATATTTCATCAACTTTGATCAAAATTTACTAAAAATTTGATTTTAATATTTACCAAACAGGGACTTAGATATCACAAAGTGTGTCCACAATGAAATTGGTCATAGCAGACAAAATTACCAATATAATGTAGCGGCGAATAAGCCCACACGAATTTGGGATGACCGTTGACACATCACACAATACTGATGTACAACATAGTTCCTGTTTGATAATCATTATTTTGGAAAAATGATGTCTTAAATAGTAATTTTAGAAGAATGTGTGGTTAAAAAGTTTTCAAATAATGTCGTATCAGACGGATGGGACAACACCGGTTAAAAAAAAACGTATTTCAATACGATTTATATCAAGAATGAGTATATTTTACTAAGGAGAAACGCAAACTGCAATTAGCAAATCAGGGGACGTTGCATCTGGTATCAAAATGAAAGTGCATGAACTTGAATTCATCCTTACAAAATAATAAACTAGAAGGTTATCACTCAAATCAAATATTGATAGAAAGAGAAAGTATGTACAAATTGTTGGGAAATATGTAAGAAAATTTGGAAAAACTAATGAACTCCGAGGCACGAAAATCGTTATCTTTTAAGAGATGTTTCTCCCCTATCCAATAAAGTTATGACTGTGATATGATAGAGAATCTCTCTTAGGATACAATGGAAGCATTTGATTCAAATTATGACTATTTGATTCTTAGGATACAATGGAGACATTTGATTCAAATTAAGAAAACACTCTATAAATGTATACTGAGAGAGATTTTCTATCATATCCCAGTCGGGACTTTGTTGGATAGGAGAGAAACATTTTTTAAAAGATAACGATTTTCGTGCCTTGAAGTTCATTGGTTTTTCCAGATTTTATTACATATCTCCCAACACAAATTACAAATAGATAGAACAAAAAGTAAAAGAATAAAAGAAGTACACAACATGTGCATAATAAGCTGACGAAAAATAAACATAAATAAAATCATCAATCCAAAACAAATGTTAATAGTGCGCTATACATATCCAGAACCAGCAACTTATGTTCAAGAAAATATATATTATGTTTTTGTTAAAAGGAAAAAAATATAATCACCAAACACGGTAGAGATGCATTCATGGATTCACGTGATTAAGGTTTTGGGTTTCATCCTTAAAGATCAATTTTATTAGAGCATTTTCAAGACTCTTTAAACGTAAGATCATCTCGATTTTAAAGATTCAATTATTAAAATTATGCTGAAAAAAGCTCTTCGAAATATCATTTTAAATTAGAAAGTGAATTTGGTTATCTAAATTTAAATAGCCAAATCTACTGTCTATAATAAAATGCATTCAAAATATTTTAATTTTCATAATGAGAAAAATAATATAATAATTTGGAGGGAAATTAGTGAAAATAAAAGATATAATTTTTTTTTTAGAGTAGTAAAATTAAGTGTTTAAAAAAAAAACTTTGTTGCTGTATTTAAAAAAGTTTACTCTCTAACTTGCTAAATATACTCTTTAAAAATATGATCTCTTGGATATACTCTTAAGATGAGTAGTACAATCCCTTATTTGTTTACTTATACTTTAGTATTTAATCGATGTGATAGTTATCCCTTATCATGTCCGCCGAAATGACGGCTCGTTTAAGCAACCAATCTTTAAATTCATGTGCTTTTTTTGAGTCTTAATCTAATCAAATAGTTCGTTTGAGCTTAATAGGCTTCGATATCATATTAAAAATTGGTGTTACATCTTAAAATATTAACATTACTAAAAAGAGTAGCTCAATCTCACATCTATTGATCTATATTACGATATTTAATCGATGTGAAATTTATCCATCAACACACACGTGTACTTAGCCTTCCCAGCAGACATATTTTCAGCTTTCTATACCATATTTTTACCATTGGATAGCATGTTGAATAGAGTCAAGCTTGTGTCGAACGTTTTCAGCATATCCTTAATCTTCGTCTCAAGGATGTTGTGGAAAATATAAAAGAATGAATTTTATTTTCTATATTCTCCGTTTGGTAACCATTTTTCTACAAAAAAATACATTTTTTTGTGTCAAATCACACTTTTTTTTGTGTCTCTTTCCAGTCATGGACCCCACTTGATGTGAAAGAAAAAATGTATTATTTGAAGAAAGAATGGCTCCAAAACAGAGGCTCACATTGTAAAAGATACTTCCCCTTTTAAGAAGACGTCTAAAAAAGAATCGGCTAATTACATGAAAAAGAATAAGGAATGATAAACCAACATTCTATGCCAAATATAAAATATTCTATGTCAAACACAGTATATTTAACATCCAATTGGAGTTTGGAAATGACATCACTAGAGCGACCAAGAGAGTGAGATTTGACGAGCACATCAAGTTGGTTAGCAGAAGACATAGGGTATCACAACGAAGATGATGACGAACAAAGTGAAAATTAATCTCTATCTATGCATGCTCAGCTTCGATGGCCGAGCAGGCAACAACATATTAGTTATTACTTTTCAAGAGATGAGAGATGAATAAAAGAGAAAGCAATAGCAAGTGGCAGAATGATGATGATCAATAGGATCCCCAGCCCAGTTAAAATTAGGATAAGCCATAAATTAAATGATATAGATGAGAGAAAGTAAAAGCCATGGAACAAGGTCCCTTTGACATAGCAAAGAACTCGAAGAATAGCAGCACTTTGAATAGAGGAAGAAGCATTCGTAAATCTACTAACATACGTACATCATAAACAATATCAGGGCGAGTGAAATGAAGATAGATGACATTATCCAGGTCACAATCTCAAAGACATAAATTTGTGGATTACAATTACATATATTAATCGCAAATTAAATATTTTAATAAGTCATGAATTATTTATTAATTAGAAATTATCCAATTAAAATTGATCACGGACAACGGAAGTAAAATTGCTATGAAAATGTCTTCTCGCATCGTGAATGCTATTGTCACTCATGACAAAATGGACCGAAGGAAGAGGAAGGCCCCGAATTTTACCCCGTTGTGGAGGATCTAGAATTGACGATAGCAACAACATGCTAGGGTTAGGGTTAGGGTTCGGAGGTGGGTCCAACGCTATGGAGGGTGGATCGGGTTATACAAGTTGGATTTGCAGCAATATTCTTCGACCCAATGGTTGGCTCCGCCGTTGCCAAGATTTTTGTGACCGAATGTTGAT